GCAGCATCAGTTCGTTTTCTTTGATGTAATTAAATAACAAGACATCCAGACACATTTAAAACCATGTAGATAAGCAGCCTCGTTTAAACTAACAAAGCCAGGAGATTCAGTGTCATAGATGAATCTCTGTTCTTTGGCCATAATACAAGATCTTTTTATTTTCATAACAATATGAGCACAAGAGGCAATGGTGCTAGCATTACCTTTGAATTTGATTGGCTTCCATACCTTGAAGTTGGACTTGTAATCTTATATATGTTTGGGAGGACTGCCTAGAAATGACTCTATGCAGGTTTATGTGACAATAAATATATATATATATATTTCCTTACAGTGAAAACCAATTATTTTCTGTGAGCTAGCTGATAGTTTTTGGCTTTGGACAGCACCTTGGCACCACACTGTGGAGAACACAAAATAAATATAAAACCAAACCAAAAACAGCATTCAAAGGGAAAGGAATTTCTTACGTTTCTCCCAGAACTTTTCTTTGAAAACCAGTTCACCTGGATTTTAATACACAGTGAAGTCATTTTCCTTGTTAGAGAAAGGGATCAGCCAAGCAGAAATATATTGACATCTCCCACATGCAGTTAGCCCAGGGTCACAACAATAAGTATTTGCATAGATTGTATTACCTGGATTAGGGAATACATTTAAAACCTTGGGCCACAGGATGATGAATATAGCACTAGACAGCCTACCAGGGCTTTAGCTTTCTCCCGCTGAAATGAATGGCAGAACATCCACCAAGATAAGTCAGGCCAATGTGGGAGAGCTTGAAACCTTCAAAGGGAGCTCACCCTCTTCATCGATAGTTCTCTGATCTGTTGTGAAGGCAGCTCACCTTCCAGGTAAAATAATTAAAGAAAGGGCTAAAGGTTTAGTAGAGCCAGCACCATACCTAGACTCCTGGCAGCCCTGGACAAACTTTTAGTATCGGACCCCCCCTTCACCAGAGATAACCATAATAATAATTTTAAAATTACCATTTTCAGGCTCCCTTTCTGTCCAGGCCCCAGGTGGCTGCCTGGTTTGCCCATGCCTGTGTCCGGCCCTCAGTATATCTACAGACAGTGGAGCGAGCCCTAGGAATACCTTGTATATCTATACCAGTATATCTATCAGTACATCTATACCTTGCATATCTATATATGGCGGAGTGAGCCCTAGGAATACCATGCCCCTTAGCAATCTCACCTCCGGGCAGAATTTCCACTGCCAGAAACCTGTGCTCTTGAGTTACTCTGCCAGGAAAAAAGAACAGCATGAAAACGACTTGAAACTACTTTTAAAGAAAGCTAACTAGTTTAAGCTGATAATCTCCCCATAATGCAACAGGATGAAACAGTAAACAGAATGTATTACTTATTAGCCTGGGAGATTTTTTCATTATATACAAAAGAGAAATTTAAAATCTAAGTTCTTTCTCAAAACTATCCTACTAAATAGCCCTAAATAAATCTCTGTAAGCAGAGCTTCAACTCATCTTTTCTCCAGCTATTATGCCATCACATTAAGGTCCAGGCTTAGTGCGATAATATAGAAGAAAAAAATCCAACATAACAGCAGCACCCACTGGTAGCATCACAAGCAACAGACCCAGGGCACATGCAAGCATCAGGATGTTGGCCAAGGATGGTACCAGAATTGTCAGCATTTCCAAACTCATATATGTTAGGCATGTAAGAAAAAGGGAGTGATTTTCAAATCATCCCCAACTCCTGCTGAAGACAAATGAGACTTGCCAAGGATCACGTCCTTTGGGGGGAAAAAAAAGTCCTGTGAAGGGGTCTAACAACAGACAGACAAGCCTGAAAACCCAGATCCCTTAATTGTAGGCAGAAGCTTCTTTATTACAATTGCCTCTATCATTGGCAGTTCAGACCTCCTCTTTGCTCTTTTTGTGCAGGCTCCTGTGTGCCTTGTTCCATAAGTGCTGCAGGCTGGCTCATCTCTCTGACCTTACAGGGTGCATCTGCATGAGATACTTCCTGCCGAGTTGCCTAATTAGCACTGCAGTAAAGCATCACTGTCCACACCAGCGTTTCCTAACTGGTGTGCTGTGGCATTTTGGGCTAGAGCCATGCCCCGCCTGCTGCTGTGGACACAAACAGACAGAGAGCATGGCTCCAGCCAGACAGGGGGCACGGCTCCAGCCCAAAATGCCGTCCAGCTGGCCGCTCACCACCCATCCCCATTGGCATCCGGCTGGCCACACACTACCCTGCATCTGGTGTGCCACAGTGCTTTTTTATTTAGGTAAGTGTGCTGTGGGGAGAAAAAGGTTGGGAAACACTGGTCTACACATGCATTGCTATTAAGACGGAGTAAGCTAATTAACTCCGGCATAGGCTTGTACTGCCCAACACAAGTACCATTCTATGGTAGAGTTATTTACTCTGGCACACACGTGTAGTTGGTGACCAACGCTAGCTGGGGCATGGGGGTATTACAGTGCAGGGCTGCCTGCTGGCTATCCCCACACCGTAGCACCCTTGTGTCCCAGCCAGCCACTCCACAGCATACTGAGCCAGGCAGAACCAGCCCTGTAATGGCAGGCTTAACCCCCCGATTCCCCTGCCACCTGGGGCTGCACTGCCTGGACTCAAAATGCTGCAGTAGGCACATGTGTAAACGTTATATCCAGGAGGAATAAACTCCTCTGTGAACTACATCTGGGAGCAATAAACTCCAGTGTGAACTGCACCACTAAACTCTAGGAGTTTATTGCATCAAATTAATTTCACATGTAGATGCGCCCATAGAGTAGCTCCTGCCAATTCCATCAGTCCATTTCAGAACAAAAACAGAATAAATACTATGTAAAACAAACTACATGGTTAAGAACACCCTCTCATACTATACTGAAGGACTGTATGGCTGCCTGGCTGATGTGTCCAATACCCCCAGATGTTAAATAATTCAAACAACACTAATAAAAAAGCAAAAAAGTAACCCTTCCTTTAACTTATAATTTTACTCTACAGTTTTTAAGTAGACATGACAGCTGCCTGGATAACAGATGACTGTTATAATTGCTGCAGATACAGAGAACAACAATGAAATTCCTAAAGATGAGACACTTAAAAGGTTACACGGTACTAAGAGCAGTTTGCAGTAAAAATCAATGAACAGTATAATTGCTCTGCTGAGAAATTAAAGTGCCATTATTAGTGCTGGGATTTACACTATATGATGACATACATAGTAACTGGAAACAGGTCAAAACCGTCTAGAATTAGTGCTCCTTAAATTGCAATACAGATATCATTTGCACAGCACCTAGTGAATGCACATGCCAGAATGCACAATGCAATGTGGCAAAAGCCAGCTATTCAAAAGCTAAACTCAGTAAATTCATCAGCCTAAGAGTTTAAGATGCCAGACTTCACACCACTTTGGATTCTCAATTGGCAGACACAGAGCATTAAAGTAAACCCCAATCTTGGGAAAAGACACACCTGAGGAAAAACTGTTGGGTTATTTCTGCAAATCAACAGATGCTTTGGTTTCTGATTTTTGAAATTATTCTTATTTTCATATAAGGGTTTCTTCTCCCATTTCTCTGTATTTTGCTGAATATGCATTCTTCAAAAGGTACTTATTCAGGAGTGGAAGGGACTTCAAGAAGTTGTCTACTACAGTGGTTTACAATATTTTGGATCTTGCAGCCCACCTTAGCAACTGTAAAGAGATCCGCATTACTTTGGAAACTCGAATTAATACAGCTGGAATGAGAAGTAATTAGCCAGAACCAGCAGCATAGTGGAGTTACCATAGTTCAGAACCAGGGGAGGATCTGAAAGGAAGTGCAGTGGTCTGATTGCACCCCCACCCATTTCAATTAGAGTCACAGTGAGCTCCCACTGCCAAGAGCTACGGCCTCAGCCACTCTGCACCCCCGCCTTTTCAAAATCCTAGAACCACTCCTGTGCAGGACTATGTCCGCACAAGGAAGCAGCTTGAAGTTACTCAGTTTACCTCTGCAGCCACTATATATCCTGAACTAGAAACAGGCACTATGCTTTTTAGCTCTGCCTCTTAGCAGAGCTAATTAGCCCACCAGCAGTACCATTCTAAGGGTGGCAATACTGCTTCCCATTCAGGAGGTATCACAGTGTGATGCTCCCTGTTGACCTACGAGCATCTGGTAGCGGGAGGGTTGGCAGATATCCCTACCTCCCCTATCTGCCCTTACCAGTTCACACATGGCACATTTTGAGAAATGCCAATCCAGTGCTCCCACCTCCTCCAAGAAGTGGTAAGATCCCAAAGACCAAGCATACCTAGAACACCCCCAACAGATGTCCACCGCACTGATTTTTAATAAGACTCAACAAGGATTCCACAACTGCCCTAGGAAGTCTGTTCCAAGGCTTGGCTATAGTTAGAAAGCTTTTCCTGATGTCTGACCTAATTCTCCTTTGCTGCCAACAAAGCTGACTGCTTCTTGCCTTATCATCCCGGTAGACATGGGCAACATTTGATCGCTGTTCTGTGTTGTCAAAACAAATGCCAGCTTCAAACTAAGTGAAAAAAGACAGGGTTTGAGGATGTATGTCCATTCCAATCCTCTAGGGATGGTGGCAGAAATACAGCTCAACATTTTCAATGCTGAAAGTCATTGTCATCTGACCAAAGGCTTGTGACCTGAGTCTGCATAATCTATGTCAGTGGCAGACAGTTATTTGGGCTGGAGGGCCACTTACATTTTGGCCACTTGTAGAAGGCTGGGGGCGGCCTGGCCTCGGTCCCCCACCATGGCAGTTTATACCATGTAGTGGAGGGCAGAGGGGGGACAGGGAGCTGCCAGTTGATCCTATCCAGCCCCAGCCCCATCCAGCCCTCATTCGCCACCAAGGGTGCCAGACAGAGCGAGCGGGCAAGTGAATGGGGTCTCCATAGAGGCCAGCCTGGGACCCCATCAGTCAAGGTATGCTTGGCCAGATGGGGAGCAAGACAGGCAGGCAAGGCCAGGGCTGGAGCCAAGATCACAGGGTGGTGACAGCGCAGGGTAGGATCCAGGGCAGAGCCGCAATCCACTCCCCTGCATGTCCCTGCAATGGGCTCTGGCTCCGCAAGCAGTGGCCAGCCCCTGGGAGAAGAGGACCAGCTGCAAGTGCCATGGCCCAGGCTGCTTACCGCACCTGGGCCAGGTGGGGTTGAGAGACCTACCATGGGCCAAACAGAATCACTTGGCAGGCCAGATCCAGCCCACAGGCCTTATTTTGCCCATCCCTGGCTTATGTCCAATTCCTAGCAGGTGTTCTCATAAAAGACAGCAATCACAATCTGCTGCCTATCCCATTAGAAAAGCCAAAATCAAGCCAAAGTCTCAATAAACACCACCACCCCCGACTTTTGATATCAGAGGTGGTCCTTGTAGGCCAGAGATGAAATGTGTTGAGTAAGCAGTGCAATGGAAACCTGAACAGAACAGTGAACAACAATTCATGAACAAAAAATTCCTGACTTCAGAGCACAGTGACTCCTGCCATGAACATCAAAATAAACATGGAGATAATGTTCTAAACTGCTTTTTTATAACAATTAAAAATTGATCTAGGTTGCAGCTAAGAGCACATTTTTACAATTGAGCTTTAAGCCCTTTAAAATGCAAGTATCTTTTCAATTATGAGAACTCATGATTTTATTGCAAATTTGGGGATTTTAAGGGGGTTTGTTTAAAACTCCAGTGTTTGAAGTAAAGTGATTAACTAAGAACCTCAGCCCTAATTTAAAGAAAAAAAGTTTGGTTCTTATGATCATTGAGAAATCCTTGCAAATTTGAATTTTACTGGTTCAACATCAAGAATACAAGAGAAATGGATAGCTAAAATCTTAAATACATTATGTTATGTTTTTCTGTGCTTTAAATTATCTTATCTCAAGTATAAAAGTAAGGTTTCTCTTTTTATGTCTCTTAAAAATAACATCACCTAACTGACAATATATCATTCAGCAAATATGAGCAACAACTCTGGATTCTAGGTCAAATGGACCTGCCTACAACTGAGTTGTATTACTCCTGGGAATCTACATATGTTTATATTATGGAAACGCACTGAAGGACTTAGGGGTTAAAGACAGGCTCTGAAGTTAATTAAATATGTGATTAAATATATTTATTATAGTCTCACATGGTCAATCACAATCTGATTGGCTGAAATAGGCACGTGTGACTAAGGTCAAGTTCAGCAAGACTGTCTGCAGAGCTAATCAACCATTGTTTAAGCTAAAATTATTGAACATCCATTGATTCAGAGTCATTGAGTCAAATGACCTGCAAATGGATTTGAGACTGCAGAACACCCTGCAAAAGAAAACCCCCAAACCAAAAAAACAAAAAAAACCCACACACAAAAAACCGAAACCCTCCTATAACTCATTCCATCTTGTTTCCTGCTCTTTGATAGGGCTTCAGTCTCAGCTGGATTTTACATGTTATTTTCCCTGAACCTTTGTATGAATTCACATAAGGGCACAGAGAGGAAAATTAGGTTCATCATCTTGGCAAAAGAAGTCTAACCACTCACTTGACTACAGGCCAGTGTCTTGTTTATTTTTTATTCTAACCAAGTAAAATGTCACTACAATGTTCATTATCTCAAGTCATCCTGGTGAAGTAAATCTCATGCCTGTGCCAGTAAGTTTTCCTGACAGATTTTCAAAGCTGAGATAGATAGCATTACCCATCACCCTGAATATAGAATATGAAACACAAGATGGAAATTGCAATGTGCACCACAATCATAATGCCTGAAAGACTAAATCACATCATACATAGCTAACAGAGCCTAGGGACAAAAGTTACACGTAAGTGATCAGAAACTGGTTTAAACCTGTAACAGAACAAAAGTTCAGTGCACATAAGCCAGTTTCAAAGTAGACAAAACCAGTTTAAGATAAACCTGGTTGAATGTAGTATCAGATTGAACTGATTTGGATCAACATGGTTTATGGAACTTCTGTCCCAGACCCCCTTCCAGGTTTAAGTTAAATCAGAGTCCTCCAGCATCCCAGCATGCTCTGCAGCCCTAGACTGGGCTGTGCTTTCTGCAGGAGAGCAGGGGTAGCCTCACCCCTCTGCTCTCTAGTTAGAGCAGGAGGGGGAAGCAGAGGGGGCCAGACGCTGCCCTGCATGGCCCCCTGAGGCAACAGGGGCAGGGAAGGGGTTTATTCCCCCTTCTCTCCCCTCAGGGGACACCAGAAAGGGTCTGCTTGGCCGGGGCGTAGCAGCCCCTGTCAGGCATTCCCCCGCCTTGCTGCTCCAGTGGCAGGGGGGTGCAGCCTCAAGTAAATGGGGACAGTGTGGGGTTTAGTTCCCCCACCATCCTCCCAGCACAGAGCTAGCCTGGGACAGAGCCAAATGAGTATGCAGCTAGGGCAACAGTTCCTGCCAAACAGCCCCTTCTACCTACTGGAGAGCAGGGCCCTAGCCAGAGCCAGCATGCATGATGCACGCTTGCTCCCTCAGCTCTGAGTCCTATTAGCTACACCTGCCAGGCATCGAGCTAGATGTGCCCTGCTCACTGTTCCCCTACACAGTGGTGGCAGCGCAGCACAGTCCCATGTAGCAAGCACAGGGTGCTACCCCTGCAGCTTCCCTGCTCCTGCCATTGACATTAGGGGGGCCTGTCCTGGCTGTAGTGGTACATGCTGCCCATGCTGCCAAATTGCATTTTGCCACTGAATGGGCAGACAGCAGTGGCAAAGCTGTGGGGGTAGTGCCCCACGCTTAGTACACAGGGCCATGTTGTGCCTATGGCTTCCCCACCACTGCCACCCAGGGTGCAAACAGATGCCGTCCGGGCATAGTGCCCTTAAGGTGAAAGGGGCAGGGTGGGGGTTTATTCTTCCCTCCAACCCCTCTCCCACCAGGAGAACACAGTCAGCCCTAACTGCCACCTCTACCGCTCACCCCTGGCGAGAGGAACCCCAGCTGGGGTTACTGTGGGGAGAGGGAAACAATAATCCCCTCCCTGCTTGTGCTCCCCAAGACACTATGAGAGGCTGCTGCCCCGTCAGGGTCCCCCCCCACCTCTCTTTGCTCCAGCGGTGGGGCGGGAGCATGGCCAGACACCAGTCAGCATGGCCCCCTGAGGCAAAGGGGGCAGAGGGGGGTTTATTCTCCTCTCTGTCCCCTCTCACCCTGGGGGACCCAGCCAGGGTCTGCATAGCCAGGGGCAAGCAGTGGATACAGCAGCTGGGGCTGGCAGACTCTGGCTGCCGTCTCCCCATGGGAGAGGGGATGGAGGGGGGAAATAAACCCCCTCCCTGCCCCCTTCAGCTCAGGGGGGCATGCCAACTGGCATCTAGCCACTCCCCCACTGCTGGACTGGTGAGGGGTTTTATTCTCCTTCCCTGGCCCACCAGCAGGAACCCCAGCTGGGGTCTGCCTGGCTGGGGCAAAGCAGTCCATCAGGCATTCCCCCCCTCCCAGCAGTAGGGGCACAGGCATGGCCAGACACTAGCCTGGCATGGTCCCCTGAGGCAAAGGAGCCAGGGAGGGGGTTTATTCACCCCTCTGTCCCCTCTCCCACTGGGGGACCACAGCTGGGGCCTACCAGCCCCAGCCTCCGCCACTCACACCCAGCCAGGCAGACCCTGGCTGGAGTCCTCCAGGCGGAGAGGGAACAGAAGGGAAAATAACCCCCCTCTGCCTTCACTTCAGGGGGACATGCTGGTCAGAATCTGGTCATGTCCCTGCTGCTGGACCGAAGGGAGGATGGTGTCTTGGGGAGCACAAGCCTTGTCCTAGTGAAGCGTTACACTCTGGGTGGGAGCAGGGGCAGCAGCAGTGGCAGGGCTTGGAAGGGTGGCTATGGGGGCTAAACTGAATTTTGGGGTGGCTGTAGCCCCCCCAGACTCCCCCTAGCACCACTGCTGCTCACCTCCCCACAGGCAGTGGCAAATCTCTCCACCCAGCTCCCACCCGCAGTGTAGCCTCCCCACCAGGAAGAAGCTTGCACTCCCGCAGACACAATGACAGGGGCTACTGCCCTTGTCAGGGTCCCTCCCCCTTCACTGCTCCAGCGGCAGGTGCAGGGATGGGAGCATGGCCAGATGCTGGCCCGGCCAGCATGGCCCCATGAATTAAAGGGGGCAGAGGGGAGGGGTTTATTCCCCCCGCCATCCCCACTTCCTCCTTGGGGACCACAGCCATAGTCTGCCTGGCTGCCAGGGCTGGCAGAAGCCAGCTGCAGTCCCCAGAAGAAAGAGGAGACAGAAGGTAGATTAAACCTCATTCCTGTCCCCTTTGCCTTAGGGGACCATGCTGAGCCAGTGTCTGTCCACACCCCAGGTGATGGCAGGGAAGCCATAGGCGCAGCACAGCACCATGTACCAGGCGGGCGCTACCCCTACAGCTTCCTCGCTGCCGTCTGCCCACCGACAGCCAACTGCAGTTTGGCGGCATGGGTGGTGCCTTCTAGTATGGTAAGGGCAGGCTCCCGCCTCTCGGCGATGGCAGTGGGGAAGCTGCAGGCGTAGTGCCTCCCACCTAGAGCCTAGAACATGGGGCCGTGCTGTGCCACCACTGGGCAGGGGAACAGTGAAGCAGGGCGTGCCCAGCTCAGTGCCCAGGGGACACAGGTAATATGGCTGTGGCTGAGAGGGCAAGCTGGTGCCGTGCATGCTGCTGCAAGGGCCAGGGCCATTCCAGGCGCTGCTCTCCAGCAGGTACAAGGGATCCACCAGGCAGGAGCTTTCCTTTATGGAACTTTGCTCCTGGGCCCCTTCCTCCCCCTGGATTGGGCCTTTGCTCCTGGGCTGCCCCAAACAGAACCCAGTCCTGATGGCTGGCAAGGTCCAGTGAGATTGCCCACTGGCTGAGAGAAGGGCTCTGGGGGTCCCAGGCCATGCTGAGCCATGGCCAGGAAAGAAACACTGGGTAGACACTGGCTGGGGTCCCTGCAGGCCAGGGTGAGGGTTTAAATCCCTCCCCTCTCATACTCAGCCTGCGGGGCCTGGCCACACCCCCTTCAGTTCAGCTTCCCTCCAGCCTGAAGGAAAAGGAAGGTTGGCTCTAGCACCCTGGTCCCCCCTGGCCCCCACCTCTAGCCTGAGCCACTGCAGGCATGTGCCTGCATTTCTGGAATCAAAAGTGAATGACTTTTCACTTCCAAATCAGTTCAATCTATGCAGGTTAGAATAACCTGCAAAGGTTGAATCAATTCAGGCTCCAGCTTTTTGAACGTCTGTCCCTAGCCTGAGGGACTCTCCTACAGAGCTTGCCAATCCCAGGGCATTCTGCAATTTATCAATATTTTGCAAAGCCCACAATAAACATGGCCAAGGGTCATCTGCTTTTCAGAGTACAGGGAAATATCCATGGAAACCAAGGTTTGATTGACAGGATCTATACAAAACATCAGCCATGCTAGAGAAGCAACACAGCAGAGCAAAAGAAGATGCATCTCAGAACTCTCTATTGTAACTATGCAAGTAATAAGCAGTTCCAGGAGTGGTCTTTAATAGGCGTTAACAGACGTATGAGTTTGGGGAAGTGCTGTCAAATGATTCTTGAACATCCCAGTAGCACTCATAGCAGCAAAACAGAATACGTTTGTTCATGTACATAGTTGTACATGAGTTACGCATAGTAGCAGTTGATCCATGCAGTAAAAACAATATTCATGCCATATATACAAACAAAATTAACAGAAATGTGCAAATACATACATACAAGCACACACAAATATCACAAATACCAGGACCAAGTGATTAAAAGAACTGTAGTTTTCAAGTCAACGCAACTGGGACTCATTGCAACATGATATTATGAAAGCAGTTTAGCAGTGTTCAAACAGGGATGATATGTTTATATGTGCAAGAATAATCCCTGCACGGATACGGCTTTATAGAGGAAGATATCAACCACTAACTGTCTCATGACTGGGCAGAACTTTTTCATACAAGTGTTGTCCATCTCTACTGAATCTTCCACTACTACAGCATTTGTAATAAACACTATAGGATACAGGAGATTGGACCTTTGTCCTGATCCAGTGTTTCTAGTGAGAACACACATGCAGTACCAGCACTATATGCAGCATCACACACTTTCTGAAAAATACTCTATATGCAAAGTCCATACAGCAACCCCCAGCATAACCAACTCCTCTATCTTCCACATGGTTCAAAAGGATAGCCACCTCCCCTAATGAGAGAGCAAGTGAGACAGGCCAGAATGAAAACTGAGTCGGGGACACTGCAGTATTAAAATAACCGGCAAAGTCACTTGTAGACACAATGCATTAGGCAACCACAGACAGCAGGTACAACAGACTGACTTCTGAACCAGATTCCTGTAGAAGTCAAAGTGTCTAGGGGTTTTTGCAGTTTGCATGTGTGGCATGCTTTGATGGAGGACTATGGAAGACTAAAGTACAAAAGTGCTCTCAGAAACAGTCACATCCTTAAATCAATGTGCCTTTTTAGGGTTCACTCCCACACTCTAATGGACTTTAGAAATATAGGACCAAGGCCTGACTATGCTACTCTTTCTTTCCCAGAGTGCACACAGCTTCACAGGCATACTACAGTCCTCATCCTTAGGCCACCCTTAGTCACTCAGTTTGATGTGTGGTGTGTGTCCTCTAAGGGCTCTGCCACCCCCAAGGACTTGGTCACCAAATTAATTTAACCCTTCTTTATATATGAAATAACTGATTTGGCAAAAAAGTAACATTACAATAGTCCTGAGATAAAACAGCAATTATGGAATAGCCACTTGAATATTCAGCCTCCAAAAGGCAAAAGTAATTAAAAATAATGGACTTTAAGTAAGTCAAGAGAACAGTTGTTTTGCTTAATGCAGTTGTGCTGCTCAGGATTATGCTCTTTGTTCTAGACACTGTACAAACACAGCAACAGACCCAGACGCTATCCTGAGGAATTTAAAACCCAATTTATCATCTACAAAATGGATCAAATTATCAGATCGGTGCCTAGCACAGGGGATCTGAGCAGTGCTTCTGTAAAAATCAACAACACATATGCAGATGGGGATTGCAAAGGGCCAGCTTCTGTTGCCTTTCATTGCCAACTCCGTACCAAGTCCACAGGTTTCCTGCTTAGATGACACATTCACTGGGAGAGGGAAACTGTCT